GTCGATACTGAGGTGTGCGAGGGGAATGCGCTCCACTCACGGACCAAGGGCAAGACTCTCGAGGGGGCTGAGATGACCAGTGACTACCAGCTCTCCAACCAAAAAGCCATTTCAGTGTTGCTAAGGATGGAAGAAAGTAAGTGCTACGGTACTTCCAACTCACACGGATTACAATAATCCTAAATGGAAAGTTTAAAATGGTCTCACAATCAAAAGTTCTTCTCTTTTAAGCTGATCTGTTCAGAGGAATAATAAAAAAAAACACTTCCTTTGCTCGAATTTTAACAAGAGAGCCACAAGGTGACAACATGAAAGACAATTTGGGTTGTTGGTTAAGCACTAGGCTAGAAACAGGGAAATTGTGAGCTCTAGTCCCACTTTAGGCATGAACTTTAGGTCAGTCACTCTGAGCGACTTTAGGTCAGAAACTTCCTCACAACCGAACTCATCTCACAGGGTTGTCATTGCTATGGGGAAAATAAGTCGAGGAAAGAGTATTAGGCTTGAGTTATTTATAAAGGCAGGATAAACATGAATAAACATGAACCAAGATGTATCTCAGCAGAAGTGACGGGGAATGAGGGGATGGGAGCCAACAGCGTAAAATTATTAAACAGACCATGATGTTAACAGCGCTATGAAGGCTACCACCAATGGCTTAATAACCAAGCACTTTCATGGGATTAAAAATGGAGGGAACGCGAGTATGAGAAAAGCTACGGTCCAAAGAATTTCACCCTCCCCTCCCCCCGCCTTTGTTTAAAAGGCAGCTCTCATCCACTCCCGAAGCTCCAGGTATAGTGAAGCATCGGCCGCTCACCTTGGGGTGGGGTCTGGGCAACTTTCTGATTAAGCGTCGGCTTCAGAGGCATGCAGGTCGTATTTTTGGGGGAAAGGGTGGGGGGTTTGTGGGATTGTTACTTTAAAACGGGGAATTCCCGTCTTAGTTATTGTTAGCAGGAAAGGCTTTGCTCTGATGTGCAGTAAAATGGTAAGTTCAAGGAGGCCATCGTATTCCATGGGTTGGCTTTTCCGTAATACATACAACTCTTTTGTTTTTAAAAATGATTTAAAGGTCTGGGGGAAAAAACATAGTGAGAAGCGCCCCACCGCCGGCGTTCATTAAGCAAATCCAACTTCCCCAACTGATTTTGCTTGCTGGAAGCTGGCAGAGAAGGTACAAATCAGCATCACATGACCACAAGATGCTGCAACCATTGTAAATGTGAGCCTATTGGCAAGCGCTCAAAGTATGATTGTGTGACTATAGAAGTGGTATGATGGTTGTAACTTTGAGGACAAGTCATAAGTCACTCTGAAGCCATAACTTCAAACCATCATTAAACTGAATGATCATAAGTCAAAGATGATTGGTATGTGGGCATTAAGAGTTGACACAAATACGAAAGCACATAAACAAGCAAACATATATAAACAAAGGCCATTATAGCTACACTTTGAAGTAAGTGCCTTTTTTCAACCTGATAGTTGTGTAAGATGCTACCCTCAATTTAATTCTATTAAAATGTCTACAATAATCTATAACAAAGCACTATGCACAAGAGATATTAATTTCTATTCCTTTTCTAGTTAATTATTTCTAGTTAATTATTTTTATAATTGTATTTTATAATTATATTTTATACTATTCTACCTGTAAGTACTATAGTCTTTGTGAAGTAAACTCTAATAATATATAACACACTTTCTCTAGAGATTTATGGAATATAATATTGTGAACCATTTGTTATTATTGGGGTGTGTGTGTGTGTGTGTGTGTGTGTGTGTGTGTGTGTATCAATGCATGGGAAGAGTGAAGATTCACATCATATGTCAGACCAGTCCAAGAATGGCATAGAACAATCCAGCCAAATTTCAATTCTTTATTTGCTTACTCTCAATAGACAGAATCTTGCCTGACTAAACCAGTATTGCTCTCACCCTAATGGATATGCCCTGGGAGATTCTAGGGAGTGGCTGTCATAACTTTCTTCCTGTTTCTGTTCCAGCTCTGGGCTATGTTGTCTTGTCTTGCCCCCCTCCTTGGAATGTGCTCTCTCCTTCCTGGGAAACTGCCACTTCACTGTAGTTCATCACATTATGTCCTTGTTCATAGACTCATTCCACCATGTCATGCTTTATTCAACAGAGCACCATATCTCTTCAATAATCTTATTTTTTTAAACCAGTATTCTCCCCTCTACTTCTTAAAAGAATTGAAATGATACTGTCAAATTAGGTTTCTAAATAATAGTTCTATGAATCCATGGATAATGTCTTACAGTAAATTGAATATTAAATGTACATTATATTTCCTCTATATCATATGTTATTTTCAAATGTAGCAAGATGTCTCCAGAATGGCATGTGAAATTGTTCCTTATTTTCTGTGTAAATCTATTTCCTTCTAAGTGCCTCTATCTGTCCTTCTCTTTGCCAGTGTCCTTTGGAGAACTGACAAGCATGATTGTGCATATCTTCGCTTGCCAGACAACAGTTTCTGGATGATCAGTCATGGCAATATTTTAGGTAGATAAAAGTCACAGCTTGAGCAATTTTGCATTTTCTCCCAAGTATAGAGCAGAATTGGTTTGGAAGCAACAGTAATTAAAATAATTTAATATGATGAAAATGTAGACAATAGAAGATATATATTATGCAGAGGATGCATCCACATTAACTTTTTTCTGGGATTCATCCTTGGCTAGAGTAGGCCAAGGGCTGCTGACACACCCTCTTATTGTCCCTATATAATGAACCTGGGGGGGGGATTAATTTTCTCAGTGAAAAGAATTTTCATGCAGTATTCTTGGAAATGACTAAGTAGACATCAGTTGAAATATTGCCCCCTCAAGCTCTTTGTTTTAAGCTACAGTTGGAACACTTACCTGTGTGGAAATCTGGGCATGAATCAGCATTCCTGATAGTCAATTCTGCTCGCAACCTACCTCGCTTTCTAAAAGAAAGCAGATATTTGGATTGTTGCCTCAACAATCATTCTTCTTTACTTTCTTTCTTGGCTACCTTGTGGTACACATGCAAGAAGCTCAGATCTGTTTATACACTTATCAGAAATCAGACATAAATCTTAATTCTACCACATAGAGAACTAAGAACCTTTTGAAGTAGCTGGCTGGCATATTTATTAAATAAATATAATGAACATAAATTAATATGCAATAAAGGATTTAAAAAGCATTGTCCCGTGTTTCACAATATCATATCTCAAACAAAATTTCCAAACTGTATTTAAAGACAATTGGTACATGATCAGTCAAACATGGTGCAACTTTTTAATTGAAAAGAGGCTGCATCCTCCCATAGTCAAAGACTCATTTCTCCCTACATCTGCTCCTACCTGTTCAAGTAACAGGAATTCTTGTTAAACATGTGGATTTGGATGAAAACTTTTTATATAGAAAAAGTTGTAAATTTATAACAGAAAAAAACATGCCAGCAAGTACAAAATGAAACAAAGTTGATGAAAATCTGTCAACCATTATGTTAGTTATTTCTGGTTACTAAAAAAAAAAAAAATCAACAGGATCCACATTCCAACAGAAAATATATGTTATTTTTAGGGGCTAATTGCTATGCATTAATGTTGTTTCTTTATTAGATTTATCCTTTATCCTTAGATTTAGCCTTTCAACCAAATGATATTCAATGAGGCTAAAAACAATGACATCAATACAATCTAATGAAATATTCAGCATATCATATCATCCTATGTCTTATCATAAAAACTCAGCTAAAACTAATTACAGGGTATGTGAGAATCAGCTTAGGGGCTGATAAAAATATCTTTACCTGCTGTCAGAAAAAATAAGAAAAGGTAACCTTGAGCATAGTTGACCAAAATCATGAGCATACTAAGCAGAGGCAGGGACCACAGCAACTCTCCATAGTTGTCACCAATTCAGTCTTTCTGATTTGCCAATATTCAGGCCACTGGCCTAACATGCATGCTAGAACTGACAAATATTGCATCTATTCACATACTATGTTAACATGTCAATATATTCTTTTTCTACAAAATTTCCCTTCTGCGTACTAAATGCAAGTTAACTTGAACGTAACAGCGAAGATATTAGTATAAGGATAAAGACCTTCCTTGTTAACTCAGCAGACCAATCTGTTGAATTGTAAAATGATTGTAAAAGAGTGTTCCAGTGCTGCAGTAATTTTTGGCTGATAGAACTAGGAACATTTACTATTATATTGCTTTTTGTTGCATAGACAAAGCAAACCTTTCTGAGCACTAAAAATCAATTAGAAATAATTTCCTTTGTTGATTAGTGTAATATTACATATTTATATTTATAGAATTAATTTCTTAAATTTTATTAAAAATTTATACAAAATTACCAATCTTGACTGATCTTCAAAAGTTAAGGAGGGTTTGACTTGTTAGTATCTGGATGACCACAACAGAATACCAAGACAATAGGCTAATCTTGGAAGTTGAATTAAAAAACTATCCCAGAAAAAGGCAATAAAAAATCACTTGTGTTGCTGCCAGAAAAACAATATAGATGTGCCTAGGCAGTCACCAAGGAATGCTCGAAAATCTAGTTTTAATGGACACTTATAATCACTCTTACAAAAAATAGGATTTTTCCCAAACTTCTCACAATTTAACATGTTTTCAATGATGTGTTTCCTTTGGGCTCAGTTCATTTAACCCCATTCCTTCACTTTCAAAAGCAAAAGACACATCAAACATTTAACATACTTGCTCCAGTATTTCATCAGGCTTCCTGTGGAACAAAGTCTATTCTATTGACAGATGGGTAGAAGCATTCAGTCAGTTCCCAGAAACAATTTAAGGAAGAATAATTTCCATTATGCCTGTATAAATTTGTATATATTGTATATTTCAACATTTGGCTATTAATTTTGTTTTGTTTCTTTTTACTCCATTTACTAACATTGCAGGGGGAAAGAGAGAGAGAGAAATTGTCTTCCACGAAACCAGTCCCTGGTACCAAAAAGGTTGGGGACCACTGTGTTATAGTTTAATTTCATAGATCTTATACAGTAAACTGTTTATAAGTAATGTCCACTTTCAACTAGGGTAGATAATTTCATGTATGTTATGCCAGGCGTCCCAAACCCCTGGGCCACAGCCCTGTACTGACCCACAGTCCATTGAGAACTGGGCTGCGGAAGTGGTGCATGAGCACATGAAGCTCCATTTGTGCAAGTGGTGGGCATGCCCGAAGCCATCCTCTCCTCCCACCGCTACTACTGCTGGTTTGCGGAGCCAGAAGGATTGGGGACCAATGTATTATACAGGCAAACACTGGTGTGTGTGTGTGTGTGTGTGTGTGTGTGTATGCACATATATACAAACACACACACACAAACTGAATGTTACATATATAATATGTATGGTCTTAAGTGTGTCACCACATTTCAAATTTTAAAAAAACTGGTTTTGCCTATTTTTAAAGAGAAGCAAAGCTCTAGGTATTTTATTAATTACAACGCTGCATTTACCAAAACAATTCTGTAAAGGCAGAATTAACTGCTCACAGAAAGAAAGAAACAGAAAAGTTTACATTACTCAAAAGTAGAAAGTTGGTAGTTTAGACATTACTTCACAGAAGCTATAGAGAGGGAAATAAAAAGACCTGAAGTATAATTAGGATAAATTTGGGAAATTAGAACAGTCTTACATCTACAGAGTTCCACAAGTTTCCAACAAAACAATCCAGAATTGTAACTAGTACTCAAAGTGTACAAATTGATGTTGGTCACCTTATTTTCTATGCTCAGCAAACAAAGTTACTGGTTCTCTTCCTCTGGTTTCTGAAAGTTACGTTAATCTACTGTACAGATAAAGCCATGGTGGAGTCAGTTGCTGGAGTTTTTAAACATCCTCAGTCATGGTATTAAAGTGGTTCTTCCTCTTTCTCCTGTTTTAATCTTTTGGAAAGATGTTCACTAATGATTGACAGAGGGTTGGCTCTGAATAAAGGGTTTGATATAGTCTTGTGAAACTGTGCCACTTCCTCCTCCCTGGGAAAAATAGGAAGAAAAGGAGAAAATATATCAGTTAATTTGCTGGCATTAGTTGTTGTTGGTGTTTTTTTTTTGAGACATAGTATTTTAGTAAAGCAAAATATTTTGCTACAATATATTAATGTATTCAGGTATGACTAACTTGACATAACCAAACTGCTAACATACATACACTGAATACTGTAATCCATGAGAAGAGAGTTCTAAGAATTACTTTTTAAATAAATCCTACTGCCAATGCTCTCAACATATATTCTCAAAATATAGAGAAATTAAAGTCACATTAGCAAGGCACAGCTGAGCTCACCCACTGTCCTATTGTTTGTAAAAAAAAATGTTATATTAATGAACTTTTACAAAGTAGTTTCCTCTTCTTTACAGGAAAATGTTCCCACTAAATTACAGAGTCTGATTTTGTGTATTATGTCATGGTTCCGATAGATGAAACCCATCAAAAGAACTTCAAGGCAAGAGTTCTTCCTTAAAGAACATTTTATTCAGGAAACAAAGTATCGGCACTTACATACAGTAGTTGAACCCAAAACTAAAATCCCTTCCCCCGATACAAAGTAACAAATTGCAATTCCCACCCCCCAATAAGCAGTCATAAATCACGTTCTCCAATTAGCTTGAAATGCGGGCTTTCTCTCCAGCTGTTCAGCCCGCCAAACCATTATCAATTTTTCCTTGATTTTCCATAAAGCAGCGTTATTATTATTATGGCTAGCTGAACTCAAGTATCCATCCCAACCCTCCTTCTGCACCTGATTTCTAAATAGAAGAAAAAGCAAGTTAAAAGCAAAGCGGAAAGGGCTGCATTTTCAACAGTTGTCAGAGCAGAAACATCCAATGTTTACAGCATTGACATCCGGGCCCCCTCTACAAAAAGGATAAATTCTGCAATTCAAACAAAATCATAGGTTAGGGATTACCTCTCGGTTTATTAGGGTGCTTATCATAGAATTTACTAATGAGCTGATCAGCTTTTACATCACTAGATTTTACCCAAGTGACTTCGGATAATGGATATCCTTTCTACTGCACCAAATACTGTAACTTTCCCTTGAAAAGTCTAGAATCAAGAATATGCTTTACTTAGTAATGGGTCTGTCCAGCTACCACCAGAGGGCCAGGTCCCTTCTTAGGGGGAGGCCGTAAGGTAGAACCCCGAAAGGCTTTCAGTAGGCTACAATGGAACACAGGGTGGACTTTCCCTAAGAGTCTGGGAAGCTTTAACTCTAACTGGGTTTATGATTTTTACGATGGGGAAGGGACCTAGATACTTCAGTCCCAACTTCTTACTAGGTAACTTGACATAAATATTTTGTGGATAAGTAAACTTTTTCCGGTTAGACCTTACTGGAAACCCCTCGGGAAAAAAATAGGCGAACAAAAAACATACAGAGCCTTCGGAAAAAGTCTCGCTCAAAGCAAAAAGGGGTTTGGAGGAGGATGGTGAAGTGGGTGACCCTTCATCTCCCAAGAACTCCTATAAACCCATAACCCAACTTAAGAAAAGGACACCGTTAAAATTTTACACATTTGGCGGTGTTGCTGTGAACACAGTTATTGTAAGCCATCTCTGCGAAAGGGAGGTCAGTCCAGTTCATTTGTTGATAATCCACATAGCATCTAAGTTACTGCTCCACTATTAAGCTCGCTTTTTCAGGCGCCCCATTTGTAGACGGGTGAAAAGCCGATGACAGTCCCTGCGATGAGCCAATTAACTTGAGGAAACCCCTCCAAAACTTGGCCGTAAATTGCACCCCTCTGTCAGAGATTATCTGTTTTGGCACACCATGCAGTCTGTAAATGTGCTTAAGAAACATCTTGGTTTCTGGGCTGATGGGAGTCCTTTGCAGGCAATGAAATGAGCCTGCTTCAAAAAAAGATCAATCACAGTCCAAATCACTGTATTTCCTCTACTTTCAGGTAACTCAACTCATAGCAATTTCTTCCCATGGCTGGGAAGGGTCCGCAACCGGTTGTAATAATCCAGGGGGTTTCCCTGGAATTCTCTTCATGGTGGCACATACAGCACAGCTTTTGACATAGTTCTCCATGTCCCGTTTCAAACCTGGCCACCAAAATTGTCGACGAACCAGATGCAGTGTTTTTAAATAGCCAAAGTGCCCAGCTTGTTTCACATCGTGACCATGCTGGAGAGTGTTGAGGCGGAGGGTTTCGGGCAAATACAGTTTCCCCCCTTTGTAAGCCAATCTGTCCCTGCACGTCAAGGAGGTTTGATTGTCTTTAAACCATCGTTCGTTGAGGAGTTCCTGTTTTAATTTTCTCGTCCCAGGGTCATCGAAGTTTGGGACTCTCGAAGACGGGGCTCTTTGTGGCGTTAGTTGAGATGCAGCTTGCAGGGTAGATATGATTGCTTCATTGACCTCTTCACACTGGCTTTTGTACTGAGGCAATCTGGATAGAGCGTCAGCTAAAAGGTTTTTCCCTCCTGGTATGTATTTCAGGGTGAAGTTAAATTGGTTAAAATACTGTGCCCACCATACTTGCTTCGGGGACAGCTTGCGAGGAGTTTTCAGTGCTTCTAAGTTTTTGTGATCAGTCCATACTTTGAAAGGCACCTTGCTCCCGTCTAGGTAGTGCTGCAAGTTTAACATTAAGTGA